ATGCAACATTATGCCAATCCGGCTGAGGGATCTAGTGTGGAATCCGGGAGACTGGGAATGCCCCCCCCAGAGGACACACAGGAGAACCATGCCGCACCAAGAGGTGACCACAAAGAATGTTTACAACTCGCTGCTGGAACCAGTGAACATCTGTGGCGAACTGAAGGAGAGGTGGGCTAAACGAGAGTGGCTGCCGGATGGACAACTCACAAATTGGACACAGAGGAGATGGAACGAACAATGCAACATTATGGCTGCCTTGCCAGATCAGAAGCAGGCGGGCCTGCTATGACAGATCTACCACCTGGCAATCCCGACTGCGCAGTGGCTGGCCACCAAAAGTTGTCATAAGAACCGAACTTGTGCTGCGGAATGCGTCCAGGTTGAAACGGTCCCCCACCTCTTTTGCGATGTCCAAGGGTACATGTGTTCTGGGAGTGGTGGGCGCAGGAAATTGCAGACAAGACACCGCTGCAGGTCAACGAAACGACCGATGCAGAGATCTTGCTGGGTACCCTGATCAAAGCTAACAGGCAGGGTATGGGAGAGATGGTGGTGGAAGAGATTGTAAGGGCAGCTGTGTTATGGGCCCTATGGACATTGAGAAAAGGAAGATGTAGGCAAGGAGCGTCTCTGCCACTGTGGGCCTATCAGGAGAGAGCGTTGGAGAATATTCGCTTTGCTATATTGGCGGACCTGCACCGAAGTAGACGCATAGGGGAAGCAAAGGAGGCAGGCTTTTGGCGGAGATGGGCCCCATTCCCGCAGATGCTGACGCGGGACCCTAGCACAGGGCAGCTGCAGTTTGGACTGATCTTGCAACACTATGTGCCTGGACCAGAGAAAGAGGATACAAGCAGCATTCAGTCAGTAGAATAGAATGGCGTCAAGTAGGTAGGAAGTAGGGGGGATGGGAGGATACGGGGGTAGAAGGAGTTAGGAAGCTGGTATAAGGCAAAGTTGGGAGGGGGAAGAGGGTTAAGATCGGATGGAAAAAGGGAGGAGGGGGAGCCAAAAATGGGGAAAAAAGGAAAAGAAAGAGTGAAGGATACGGGTTTAACCTGGATTGATGAACATATTGCTGGGGACAACACTTAAAAACCAGAGGGCGGTGTAAAAAATAAAAATGAAAAAATGAGAGGTTTGAAAAGCCTGGATTAGAAGTGGGGGAAGGGCAAGAGGAGAGAAGTGATAGCAAAGACAAAGGAGACAGGAGTTAGAATTAGAGGAGACTTAAGCATACAATAGGCAGCCGGGTACAAGTAAGTAACTAGACTAAAAGAGTGTAGTAGTTAAAAAAAGAAGGATTTGAACAGAGGGTGTGACTGATAGGATGTATAAAGGAGATTGGGGTGAAAATTAGACGACATTTAAGGACTCGATAGGAAGCCCGGATCGGGGAGGATCTAGACTAAAAGAGTGTTAGTAGGTACAAAATAGATGGTTGAATAGAGGGTGGGACTGACAGGATGTGAGGCCTGTGAGACTGCTAGAACGGCCCCCCGGGGCCAGGCCTTCCCTGGGCACCCTTCTGTTGTGTGGCTGGGTGCTGCTAGGAAGCCTCCCGACCAACAGAGGTATCCCTGGGGAGGCTATGGTATGGGAAGAGGGATCGGTTGTAGCAATCCCCCCCTTGTTAGGCGTCTAGGGCCACAAGGGTAAGGCTTTCCTCTTTTCCTACAAATAAACTCATGCTTGCCGGTGATAAGCAACCGGACTGATGCCCCCCAGAATAGAAGGGGCGGAGTTGTTTCATACTCTGGTAATTGTAACAGGTTGATAGCATTTTTTGGAAACTTATTGTAGTCTTTGTCTGCGGTAAAATTCATTAGGCCTCTCTGAAGACAAGTTTTTTTGTTTTTCCGACTTTTTCGGAAAATTTTCCCTTTCTTCTCCTCTTTAACCCTCCTTCCTCTCTCTTTCCCCTCTTCTCGAAAAGACCTTCAGTCAGATCGGATGTATGCAATACTATCACCTCTTTCTCTCCGCTCCATGCCTTTGTACAGAATCTTGTCCGCGGTTCTTAGGCTGTGGCATAGTCTGCACTGGGATTACCCTCTGTGTTGTTTTTACTTTGTTTCCCTTCTTGTAATTCTTTTGTCGAATGCCCGTGTCATCCACTCTGGTTTGCAAGATCCTCGTGATGTCCGTTCCAAATCATGGCTGCATTTTTGTTACCCATCTGCCTCACGTGCACATGACAACCAAGAACAAGAATGTGAAAAAAGGTAAGTGTGTTCAATGAGACGATTGGTGATGGACGGCTGTTGATATCTGCTTGATTGCACTTCCAGTGATATCTATCCCGAATCATGGCTGCACATTTGTTACCCCTCTGCCTCACCAGCACATGACAACCAAGAATGACAAGGTGAAATGAACTCCAATAAAGGTGAATTTTGTTCAGCGAGTTGACAACTGGGGATTGACAACTGTTGATATCTGCCTGATGCACTTCAGCTCCCAGTGATATCAATTCCAAATCATGGCTTCATTTTTGGTACCCCTCTGCCTCACCAGCACATGACAACCCAGAACAAGAAGGGGGAAAAAGGGAACAAGAAGCGAAAAAAAGGTAAATTGTGTTCAATGGGTTGACAGCTGGTGATGGACGTCTGTCGATATCTGCCTGATTGCACTTCAGCTTTTAGTGTATGGCTAATATGGCTGGGGAATTGCTTAGGAGTGCCTTGCACTACGACAAGCTCTTAATCACCGGTACATAGCCCCAGCCAACTTGAGAATTGCAATCAAGCCTCTCCTAAAATTTGGGAAGCTCAGGGCAAGTGGATCGAAACAAAAACAAAACGCTGGCGTCTCAGCAAATCTTGGTGCACAGGGTGGGAATCTGCCTTGTACGAGACAGGCCCGGATGTACTGGTGGCTTAAGGTTGTCTCTGATTGCAATTTCTGACTCGGTTGAAGTGACCCTCGTCTATGAAACTGGTGACTTGATGACTTATGGCAAATCTCTGGTGATGGTGGTGGTGGTGGTGGTGGCAGGTATGAGATTGTGGAGAAGGACTTGCTGGGATCTTTGCAGCACTCCTCCCACCATATTGCTCGCTACAAGCCATATGCGGCCGAACAGCTTGTACACGTGGCAATTAGTAGCAGCTACCTTCAGGGTAGCGAGAACGGGGTGTCCTGTGGTAGTGGTAGTGTTGTTGAAGTGCCAGCTTTGTGCATGTCATTGACAGAGTCCCGTAGCGGACTTGCCGGGAATGCCTCTGGGCCATCTGCCAGTAAGTATCGCATCTCGATGACACTTTTTGAGAATTTTCTGAATTATAAAACTAGCAGTACGTCTGGAACTCATCTTGCTAAAAGCCTTCGTCAGTTTGTTCAGCTTTTTAATTTTGTGACCAGTTCAATCCGGTTTCGTTAACACTCTCAGGGCATACTCACGCTAGGCCCTCAAAATCGCAAAATGAGCGGCCAGATTGAGTCCTTGTAAAAGGACTGGATCTGGCAGCTCATTTTGTGATTTTGTCATTTTGAGGGCCTACTGTGAGTGTACTCTCACACCATGTGTCAAATACTGATAGGTCGATTTGCTGTGTAAATGTCAACTTTTTTTTTTAATAGGCTGATTTACTGTGTAAATGTCAATGTACAATACTAATTTCTAGGCATCTGCAGTGTCTTGCAGTGCTCCCCAAAATGCTGGTGAGAGCCTGCCTTGGGTTCTGCAATCGGTCAATCACTTGGCAGGGCTCTGGCCAGTTTGTTGCCTCTTCCGGCGGTGCATTGTTGCACGAGCTGCTCAGGCAAATGTGAGCTCTGCGGTGCGTTTGCATGCCGTGAAGTGCCGGGAGGAAGGTTGCAAATGGAAAGAGCACAGGGAAACTATTAGATCGATAGTCGGGAAAGAGGGTGTACGTCTTTATGTGCTCTTGTGCAAAAAAAAGAAAATTCATGAAATGCATGTGTATGCGGGCACAATGTAGGAAGCCATTTTGCAATTATCTGAGATTAAGAAATGTTTTTTTTGTGGGCAATGAGAAGGAACAAATATGTGGGTGCTGTGTTCATTTCCTCTGCGGTTGGGGACTGTCAGAAAGCGTCATGGAATGCACGTGACAAACCCCGAAGCCAGAAAAGGTATGGCAACAGGGGGAACATCTTGTTTCTGTTCCCTTGTTGGCATGGTGGCTGCCAAAGACAACAGGGCAGCGCAGGTGGTGGCACCGCCCACACACACACAGGCACACACACTGAAAGGTTTCATGACTGTCAGAACCTGCACGGTCCTAAAGTCTCTAGAGTCCCAATGCCCCCAAGTCCCTGACTACATGTACCATACCCAAGGTACCCTGTACGGAGTCCGAAATTTCCGTACAGGACCCGGACTCGTAGTCCTCAGTTCCATAGGTTGGTACGGCGTACACAAGTTCCATAGGTTGGTAGGATCCGGTAGAGTGTACGGCGTACACAAGTCCTGTCCATAGTTCCATAGCTCGGTAAGGTAAACGAGTTGGGTCCATCACATGCTATGGCCCCAGAGATTTTGTCCAAATGCGCAGCATGAGTGGGAGCATGGTCGACAATCTACGTTTCTATCGATGGTAGAGCGAGCACTGATCCTGAGCACTTCCATCTTCTCTAGGCTTTCGTACACAGTGACGATCTGGAGGCCAAATACGCAGTTCTAGACCGTTTCGAGGCGGAGAGCCGCAGCCTGTCTACAGTACTTGGAAATACATATGATTCTGAAGAAAAAGGAAAGCGAGGTCTGGGAATTGGTGACCCAGAACTGCAGATTATGAAGGCCTTACGGGGAAAATGGATATGAAGCTCTAACTGTGGTGGTGGGGCTGAAGCTTAGGCACAGAAAAGTGTGAAATCTTTTCACCATTGTCCCCTTATTGCCCCAAGGTTGAAGTGATCGGATAGGACTGAGGAATTATGGAAGGCCTTCTCGAAACAACGGATTCCCAGAGGTCTGTCTTTTCTTACAAGACTTCAATTTCCACATGACTGGACACACTGCAAGAGAAGACGATGCACAGACTAATAGAGTACAGGTTATGGGTGATATGGAAGCAAAGGTGTGGAGAAACCATCGACTGCAGAAGTGTGGCTACCGTCTTCCCCCGATTAGAGCGGGCGGTTACTATCCCTGTATCCAGACCGAAAGCTGCCCCAATAGTGAATGTACGTTTCATTTGGGGGAAGACGGTAGCAAGCAAAACAGTTTAGATGGTTACTAGAAACCAATTGCACCGCCGAATGGTGGAGGGTCCGATGGAAAATTAGATACAATCTGGAGACAGCAGAGGAGATCCGGGAACTTCTTGAATCATCTACCGTGGGAGAGGTGAAGTGGGAACGCTGGGAAGGGGAAAGGAAGAAGTTTGTCTGGTGGGTGAACCTGACTACTCGGACATGAATAGGGTCCGAGGGAAAGGCAGAACTGTACAAGCCCTGTCAAACTTACGGGTGAGAACACTTGAGTAGATAGTCACTGCTGCTAGATTGCGAAGGGAAGACCAGGGGCAGTAGGAAAGTTGGAGAAAGAGGAAGGCAATGTGCACAGGGGCGGGTCGAAAAGCTCTACTAGTACACATTGTCTCGAGACACACGAGGATGTTCGACAGCACGAGAGCTGATAAGAGGTTGGAAGTAGAAAGGACCAATGTGCTTGGTAGAGGCATAACAGATGCCGATCCTTCGTGTAAGGGAAGCAATCAATGCCTCTGTCCGAAGCTCTGTTTCGGAGCTAGAGAGTGAATGGGTGAAACAGCTTAGAGGCGCAGAGTGGGGGTAAAATCATCTGAGTTAGAAGCAATGCCCCCACCTCAGGTTCTTTTTTGGCCATAAGCGAAGGAAGTGTGCAGATTGGGTGCAAATATATCGCGGCCGCAGTTATAAATAGAAAGTTCAAGTTTCAAAAAGGAAAGAAGAAAAAGCTAGCGGAAATAAAAAAAAGAATGTAGTTCAATGATCTGGAATTGCACAGGAAGATCGTTTCTTTCCTCCTGTTTGCTGTGCTCTGAAAGTACCACCTCAGAAACTCTGAATATCTTCTTTTTTGAAAAGAACGGGGCAAAAGGGAAACTCATAATGTGCCAGTGTGCTACGTGGCATGCGACGGAGGAGGACGGCGGAGCAGAAAATAGGAGGAAGTTGGAGGGAGGAGGACGGAAGAGGAGGAAGTTGGAGGAAGAAGGGAGGACGATGAGGGGAGCCGAGGCAGAAGGAGGGGGAGAGGATGACGAGGATGAGAACAGGAAAAAAAAGAACCACGTGTCAGTGTGCCACGTGGAAGGCGATTGGAGGAGAGAGTTGGCAGGAGGATGGAGGATGGAGGACGGGGAGGAGGAAGGAGGATGGCGAGGACCAGAACAAGATGAAAATAAAATGGTGTGCCAGTGTGCCACATGGCACACAACTATAGTGGAGAGGAGGAAGGAGGTAGGAGGAAAGTTTGGAAGGAGGAAGGAGGAGGAGGAGAGACGAGGAGGAATGTGCCACGTGGCAACACGACAGGCGGAAAAAGCAGGAAGGATGGACGAGGACTAGGGAATTCGAGGAGGATAAGGAGGAGGAGGGACGAGGACTAGGGACGAGGACTAGGGGATACGAGGACGATGAAGGAGGAGGACTAGGAGGAAGGAGGAGGATGACAAGGACGGGAACAAGGGAAAAAAAATGCACGCCATGACAGCAGGAGAGGAGAGAAGTACGATGACAAGAATCACAAGATGGAGAAAAGAAATTGTGTGCCACACTGCCACGTGGCACACGGGACTGTGAAGAGAGGAGGGAGTAGTATAACAGGTGGCCTGAGTTGAATTTTGACATTTGGATGACTGAAAGCACCACTTTCATGTTATTCTTCAAGCTGATTTTTGCTGTAGCCTGATATATATACATATATAGGGTTCAGCCTCCTGATGAGTCGGTGAAACTCCGACGAAACAGTTTGTCACAGCCCCTCGTTTGTTGTCCTCTTCTCTCTCTCTGCCTACGGTTTTACCGGGCAGTTCTGTTTGTGACGATATATGAGTCGGTGAAACTCCGACGAAACAGTTTGTCACAGCCCCTCGTTTGTTGTCCTCTTCTCTCTCTCTGCCTACGGTTTACCGGGCAGTTCTGTTTGTGACGATATATACTACGACTTCGCTAGCTTCCTGCTATGGTTTTTTCCGGTCAGGTCGAGCGGCAGTGGTCGGGGCCGTTACTAGGCGGCCATGCTGTGCCTCTAGTGCCAGCGGCGTGTCTGGAGTGTATTTTTTGGCTGTGACAGACCTTTCTTTGTTTCGTGGATTTTTGCTGGCTTGTGATGGGGTGTGAACCGACAGTCTGTAGAGTTTTCCATCTGGTGTGGGTGAGTGATAGTCTACTTTGATTTTGGTTAAGGTAGATTATCATTTACAGTGTACTGTTGAGGGTTCAGCCTCCTGATGAGTCGGTGAAACTCCGACGAAACAGTTTGTCACAGCCCCTCGTTTGTTGTCCTCTTCTCTCTCTCTGCCTACGGTTACCGGGCAGTTCTGTTTGTGACGATATATATGTATAGAGAGAGAGAGAATAAATTAGACCTGGTATATCTGATTGATATTATTTTTTATGTTTTTTATTGTGAGGGCATAGTGTTACATGCTGCGCCTGCACACGAGGGCCATTTTCCAGGCCCTGCGTCCCTCAGGCTGAAAGCCTGAAAACCAGGGCCTACAGGCCCCGTGACCATTCAGCTCGAAAGCCTGAAATCCAGGGGCCTACAGACCCTGTGTCGTTTCAGTCTAAAAATGGAAGCAGCTTTTTTAGCCTGAAACGAAGGGCCATTTCCGGTCTGTCATCAGACCGGCCTGCCCTGAAACTCAGGCACCGAACCAGGGTTTTAGGAACAGGCTATTTTTGGCCTGTTCCCACGACAGCTGCAGTGGGAGCCCCTGGCCCAGTTCGGCATTGGCAAGAGCAGCCTCCTGGACTGCCGGCCCTGCAACTGCAGGCAGTCAGAGGCAGTCAGGAGGCAGGCCGAGATAGTACATAGGGACTTCCCATGCACTTCACGGGTAGGCAGGAGGCAGTCAGTAGTCTTCAGGATTTGGCAGCAGCACTCTGGAGGGAGCGCTGCAGGAGTATTAGTAGCGTTAGCATTAGTCTTCAGCGCTGGGCGCCAGTAGGTAGCTGTAGTCTTCAGCGCTGGGCGCCATAGCTAGGATAGTGCTAGAGAGAGAGAGAGATTGGGCGGAGGCCAGGAGTACCTACCTGCAACAACGTTGCTCCAGCTTCGTCTTCGAGGTACCTGCAGCACACCGCCAACTTCACAGGTTAGTATCTGGCTCGTGACAGAGAGAGAGTTCTTCTTCTTCCTCTTCTCAGTCCACCATCTCCCTCTCACCCTCTCATTATCTGACTTCACTGCATCAGCAGACTATGAGAGAAAGAGAGAGAGAGAGAGCTTGGTGACATTAGATCCAGACTCGACTTTTGGGCTTCAGACATTGCAACGAGGGATTATTTGGGACTTGTGACAAAGACTTGGTGTTGACGACATTCCTGGCGCTTCCTTCCTGTGTACAGCGCCAGGCTCCCTCTCCCCCTCTTCTTCGTCTGATCCCCTCCTCTTCGTCTGTGTATGTCTGGACCTGGCGCTTCCTTCCTGTGTACAGCGCCAGGCTCCTTCACACCTTGTGATGGACACGATGTATGTTTGGTCTGCGTTCAAACATTGATTGGGCTAGTCATTAGCATTATAGCATTCTGCTTCGCTATCTTATGCTATGTGAAAAAGGTCAGTCCCGGTCAGGTCAGGATTTGCATCCAAGTCTTCCCTGCGCTATTCAGTACCATTTTGTATGTATCGGAATGCACATTGCTTGTTGAGATTCTACTTGCACTGCATTGTCCATTCAGTCCTTTTTATCACATTGCAGATCCTCGGTTATTACGTACATCACCCAACTGGGCATGTAACACATAGCCACACTGTCTTTGAGGGCATGGCCTACCTCAGCTAAACACCAGCCAAGAAAGAAATGCTCCAGTTCGCTCCAGTTCGGTTTGTTTGGGTACGAAGGGCGTTTCTAGGCTCGTCAATGTAAGGGTCGTAAGTTCTGGTGGTTTAACGTGTGCTGTCGTCTTCATTATGAGCTCATTGGGGCTGAGGAGCACCTTAATTCTGTCTCCGAAGTGGCGTGGTGGGTATTCAGTTGTCTTTATCGTGTGGCAGTGTTTAGGCTATGTCTTTATTGCGGCTCAGGAGAGGGTTAAACCACCAGTACATGTCCCCAGCCAAGTTGAGAATCAACTTGACCCTCTCCTAAAATTTCCCAGGCTTGGGACAGGGTGTCTGAAGGGCCAGTTGAAAAGTCTTCCCAATGCAGTTGGGTGGCACAGGGCCCAGCCTTTAACAAAAGAAAAGTTTCCACCCACCCTCAGCCAGGCCCTGTCCGGAGTCCGTAACTTCTCGGAGAGGCTCATCCAAATTCTCCAGATGTGCTTGTGGTTTAATTCTTCGTTTTCAACACCTAAAGCCAAAAACACCTTTCTTTCCCTTCAAGGATCAATGTGTTCATTCATATGTGTTTGTTTTTCAAACACTTGATCATTGCTGTTTTTTTAACTTTTTCTACCTACGGTAACCTACCTAAATATCCCCCATATTTTGGTCCCGGTATTCACATGCTATCGGAGGTTTCATGCACTAATCTGACTCCATGAATGCCCCTTCCTCACGCGGGCGGAGCCGTGCTGGCTCTTCTTGCTTAGTATGCTATCGGAAATATAAGAATGTCTTGTGCCGCTCTGGTCTCTTAATTTTGTTGTGGCGATGCAGGAAATGAGGATGCAAACGTAGGGGCTGCTACAGGGATAGGAGGAGGAGGAGGAGGAGGACAAGGACAAAGTTCCAGGGGGGTTGTGATGCTAACTGAAGAAAAAGAGGACAAGGGTGGAGAAGTGGTCTTTGAAGCTGAGCTGCCTCGGAACGAAGAGGGCGAAATGTACTCGAGAAAGGTGCAGGAAGAAAGCAGGGTGCGACGAGAGAGAGCTCTGAAGAGACCCGCAGCAGAAGTTCCAGATGATAAGGTAGACCAGGCTGAGTCTGTGAAATGTAGCATGCCTGGGACCTCCTACACAGGCCCCAAGGGCCCAACCACGTTCTATAGGCCTGCAGGCTGTGCCACCCTTCTATTAGGCAGCCTCAGGGCCGTGGAGCACGGTTTGGACCATGGTGGTTTTCTTTTTGTCCTTCTGTTCTGTTTGTCTGTTCTGCTATTTGTTCTGTGCCACCCTTCTTTTAGGTGGCCTCAGTGCTGTGGAGCATGGTTTGGACCATGGTGGTTTTCTCTGGGGCCAAGAGGCCATTGTTTTGTCCTTCTGTTATGTTTGTCTGTTCTGCTATTTGTTCTTCTGATGTTCGTATATCTCTTTATTTTTCTGCCAAGTTCCGTCTGTTCGGACCAGATGACCTCCGCTCTCCGCCCTGGAGTTTCTGTAGCCCCTGGGCCAGCCCTCGTCCATACTGGACTTCCCTTGCTGCATCAGCAGGGCTGCCTGGACGTCCAGTAGGGATCCAGGTAGGCCGCTTTTGCCCAGGTTATGGATCCAGGACTGGGACCTGCATCAGGCCATTGATTGTGAGATAGACAGAATGGTCCTGAAGTGAGGCCAGCATCAGTGCCACTAGGCCCAGCTGTATATAGCCCGACCGGTTGGCCCGGCTCACTTTTTTTTTTTCTCTACTACTTTGTCTAGGTTGTTTTTTCTTGCCTGGCCGGGTGTGTTGCCTGCTGTCTTGAAGGGGCTAAACGGGTTTAGTCTGATTCTGTTGTTTCTTTTCTATCTGCCATTCAGGGAGGAATTCAGATCCGACTGTGAGCCAAATTGCATTGCAATTCCGCACATCATTTTTTTTGGAAAGTTTTTGTGTTCTTCTTTTGTGGTGGGGCTGCCCGGAACCCTGCCCAGTGATCATGCATGGCCAGGTACCCGGGTACATATCTGGGCACAAGTCAGGTGCCTGAGTGCCTGGAAGAACAACTTTGTAATCTGGACCATTTATTGATTTCTCATTTCTGTGTGCAAGGGCCATGCTAATCTTCCCTCTTTGTATCATTCCAGTTTATCGGATGTTGTCAGGATAGGTGCTTGGAAATCGCACAGTTGCCGGTGGGAGTCCGGGGCTGGAGTTCGGCGGAATGGAATGTGTTGAGCTTGCCCTGCTCTCAGTTCTGGGGACTGGCAAGTTTCAGTTCGCTTGGCAATAGGCTGCTGGAGAGCAGCGCTATCTTTGGAGTAGCAGCATTACGAGTAATTAGCATGAGGGAAGTAGGAGGTAGTGCAGAGAGAGGGAGATGGTCTTCAGGCTTCAGCAGCATTCGGGAGCAGCGGGCAGACTTACCACTATAGCCTAGGAATGTTGCCACCCATGGCAAGGTCGGCACTTCCCATCCTGCTGCAGTTCAGTCGCCTTCTACACCAGTCAGCACTATGTGTGTGTGTGTGTGTGTGTGTGTGTGTGTGTGTGTGTGTGAGAGAGAGAGAGAGAGAGAGGAAGAAAGAGAGAGAGAGAGAGAGAGAGAGAGAGAGAGAGAGAGAGAGAGAGAGAG